AAGTTACGAAAAAATCAATTAACAAAAGGAGACGTAACAACTACATTCACAAAGAGCATTACATTCTCTAACATACTGGAATTCAGTTTGAAACAAAAGACAGTTCTTTTGAAATAGTTTTATACATTAGTTGAAGTTAACTAGGAAGTCTCTTATATACTTACACTTCAGACTTTATATGGCAAGAAAGAGAGTTTAATCACCTACAGCCTTCAGCTTGAAAAGTTTCTCAAACTATCTTTTTCATTAAGGAAGTCTATAATTATTACTTTGCATATGATTTCATTGTACTAAGGAAATTTACAGTAGTTTTTACACTTGAGATGTCATCACAGTAAATGGTATCTTACATTTTCTATGAACTTGTATTTCTTTTATGACTCTTTTGAAACAATGATTAACTTCTATCATTGAAGGCCTCCAATTCATCCTGTTCCATAACCTCAGGTAAAACAACAAGAGGACAAGAATATTATGATAGAAAATGAGAAGAGGAAAAGGTTAAAGCAAAGAGAACTCGTATACTTTACTATTAATTGTAGATTTATAAAAAAAACATTTTAAATATATTTAAATAAAAAAATCCAAAATAAAACACCAAATTTGCTTTTTTATAATCAATTACAACAGATAATTATGTCAGAAAATGAACTCTATAGCAAAATCATGAAAGCATTTGAAAATTTATACATAAGAAAAATGAGTAAATACATTTAAACTCAAGAAATATTAACAAACATAGCAGAATAAAAATATGCCTATATCGTTCATCCCACTCACTGTATTATTTCTAAAAAGATAAAGTAGAAGTTACATCACACTAATAAAAACAAATTCAATAACATAACTCGCCAGTGTTTTTACAAGTTGTGTCCAAAATTAATGTTTCTTCTGCTATAATTTACCAATCTCTTCAAAAGCTTTCCTTTATAAATAGATTATCTACTGAACATATCTACCAGTAATTCTAATTACCAGCTCCTACTTAACACACTTCTAAATAATTACCAACACCTAGTTACCACACTTCTAAATAATTACCAACCCCTACTTAACAAACTTGTATACAATTACTAGCCCCTACTTGATACACTTCTATATAATTACCAGCCCCTACATAACACACTTCTATATAATTACCAGTCCTTGCTTAACACACTTCTATATAATTACTAGTTCATGCTTAACACATTTCTATTTAATTACCAGTGCCTACTTTAATATAAGTTTCTATTTAATTACCAGCCCTTCCTTAACATAATTTTGTATTACTATAAACCAATCTATTTTCCTGAATAATTCAACGTTTTCAACTTGCAAAAAAAGAATAAATGGATCTCCCTCTTATAACTAGCCTGTTTATTTCTCCAACTAAACCTACTCTAGTGTTCAATGTACAGGTATTCTAACCTGAGTGTATAGAACCATACATCTTTTGTTTCAATGTTCATTTTTATTTTCTTTAATTTCCAACAAAATGAAAAAAGCAAAAAAGGAATTTTGAAATTTTGGTTGTAAATCCACTAAGTAGATATACAATAAAAAATCAGTTTTTTCTTTGTTCTTAACCCTTTCGCTGTGGCTGGGATGTATATTTAGTTTTAGTGCACTGGGAAATATACATCCCAGTCATAGTGAAAAGGTTAAGTGCAAATCTACACAATGGGCCATCTGTGCTCTTCTCACTGTTTATATTACAACCCAATTTTTAGCATTATAAACACTTAGCCTTACTGCTTAGCCACTGCAGGGGGGTGGAACCCTTTTGCTTGAGTATTAAAAATTTTGTAAAAGTTTATCTATCTAAAGATGAAAAATAAATGTTAGCTAGTGCACAAATATTAGGTTCAAGATGAAAAGTTATAGTTTGTAACTAGAGCAGTGCATAAAACCACACCACAGTGTGACTAATACAACAGGCATTTGTAGATTAAAAGCAGTGTAGAAGGAAAAGACTAATGAAAACTAATAAATTAAAACACAATCATGTACATTACATGCATGAAAACCAGAAGTTAACAAAAGTGGAATACACATAAATGATAATAGATGTTCACATTTTGATGGCAATAAAATAATATGACTAAAAAACAATTTTTAATCACCTAATAAACAACCCATATCTTGTCATAAATCTTTATAAATACACAGATAAATTTAGATATTAATATTTTTCACTGCAACACACAGGCATTCATACATCTATCGAGTAAATGCCCCATGTTACTAAACTGCTGAGTGTGTGTGCCCCCAGAACTGCTCCTGTCACCCCCCGAGGCATCCTCCTCACAAGGGGAGTTTTCCTTTAGAGCAGCCATTGAGGAAGAATGTCTAATATTCTTGGATGGCCAGGAATCTTTTTGTGCTTCTAGTCACCTGATAAAGGGTTGCCGCTCTGGTTTGTTCTCCAAAACCTTTTCAATTTCACTCATGATGAGAGCATTTAGATGTGGAGCAATCTGAATTAAGAAAATTTTAGTTAGTAACAAATTCATTTTAGCAACTAATGTTCTTAGGGAACTAAAACACCTTCTTAATAAGTTTAACTTAAAAACATACTGTAATACATACAAATATATGAATAATCATCTTTACTTTGAAAATAATCAGTAAAAATCTATTTAAAACTCAATATTTTTTAAACTAGTTCTATAACGTTTTCAAATAATAAACAATATTCACCACTATAATTTTCTATCTACTCTTCATACTTAAATGTATTTTTTCAACATGGCTCTTTTATTGTATATACAAACACATACATTAAAGGTACAACAGAATGTAGTAGCATTTTTTAAAGTCTAGGTATGTATAATGACAGGTTGATTTTTGGTGACTCATAAGTATTTACATAAAATTTATGATTTCTAAAACAATGTCACCATTTTCTGACTTTCAATGAAAAAAAAATCATACAATACTTTAGCTTCATTACAAAGATGGCCAATACAGTAGGTTTGAGAACCTTAATGGACTACGACTGCCTTTTTAAAGAAAAAGAGACAACGTTTCGACTACCATACCAACGCCTCAGTATACAAGCCAAAATGTTGTCTCCTTTTCTTCCAACAGGCTGTTGCAGTCCGTTAAAGTTCTCAAGCCTACTATATGTACTCTGCCAATAGTTCTACTGAAACAACATGTCCAATATGCTTTAGGCTTTGATTTGTTTTTTCAACCAAAACAAAACACCAATTCTCTAAAGTAGAAAAACTATTAAAACAACATAAATTATTAGAAAATGACATAGTTGACTGTGAGAAACAAGTTTTTCAGGTTTGGGTCAATTTGTACGAGAACCACAAAACAATTCATTAATTAAACACCAAATATCAACCATAAATAAATTCACAAATTTTACATAACTAACTCTTTAAAAGTAACCCTGAGAAAGACATTGCCATCCACTGTCATGAAAATACATGGCATGCATGAAACACTATCTTGTTACATACTAAACGTTTAATTACACTTTTGATGAAAATATTAAGCCACATTATATGTATGTGTGATATGCACACACACACACACACACATATATATATATATATATATATATATAT